AGCTAAAAACCATATTAGAGTGTGGAAAATCCCTACCTCAAGTGTAGAAGATGAGCAAAGCAAGGTTGAACTCCAAAATTGACGAAACCCACTTCTACTTGGATCAAAACGAAGCTCTTGAGATACTCTACCTTTTTCTCCAAGACACTAGGGTGAAGAACAGAATGGATCTAGATTAAATCTTAGAGAGAATGTGTATTCTAGAGAGAGAAGCTCTAGATCTGAAATTCTAGAGAGTTTTATAGAGAGAGAAACTGAAAAAGTGATATGAAATATCACTTTCACGAACTGATATAACACGGTCCACTCGAGCGTTAGTCACAAACTCCTGCTCAAGCGTGAAAATCTCTGCTCGAGCGTGGAATACGCATTTCTAGTATTTTTGTAGACCAGGTCCCCGCTCGAGCGAAAGAGCCAAATTCTGGGCAACTAAGGTTTGGAAAAACAAGCAACTAACCTGTTCCAAACACACAACTACAACCCAATAGCCAGCATAAGGGGAAGACAAGGGAAACAAGACATGAATAACCATTCAAAGCCATACTAACCCGAGTCCGGAACACCACAAATGACGGTCAAAACCGGAGTCGCTGTACATATAAAACACCCTCTAATAAAAAACACTTCGTGTATATCATTTATGAAAAAAATTAAGTCTATTTAATAATTGCAATCTTTCATTTTATCACATTTGTCTCTGAAAAAATGAACGATAATTATGTTTTTAAAAATAAATCATCCATTTTTTGAAAACATACGCAATAAAAATGTTATAATTATCAGATCGACCTAACATAACGGTCAAGTTTAAATTCTGAATTTGAGAGAATCCCCAACTTTTATTTAAATATTAAATTGAGATACCTTTGCTTCAATAATTTATGGACGAATTACACTAATAGTCCATGTAGTTTGCGATTTGAGTCACTTTGGTTCATGACTTTTCAATTGTGATATATTAGACTCTAGATTTTGAATTTTGTTCCAAATAAGGACAATCAAAGATATTTCATTTGCAAACGGTCTAAAGGGCAAAGTCATCATATAACTTATTTTGTGTTAGTTAGCTTGCATGTTGTTTGAAATGTGATGGCCTTTTTTTTAAAATAAATAATACTAGAACTGTCTTGGTTATAAAATTCTATTCGGTTTGATTTTCAATTTTTTTTCTAAGAAACTAAAAATTAAATTGGTGAAAAAAAAATTAAAAATACATCATTTTTATATAATTATATCTTTTGGGAGGGTAGAAATAATTTTTAATTTTTTTTAATATTTATTTATGTTAAATTAGTTTTATTTTTTCAAAAGTCAAATATTGCAACAATTTTTATGTCATTATTAAACCAATACAATAAATCAAAAAAATTCATAACTAAAAATATTTCATATGTTAAACATATTAATTACATATTAAAAGTCTAATAACCATCCATTACATGATAACCATCCAAAAATATCTGTTAACAACAAATACAACAATCTATTACATGATAATAACCATCCAAAAAATCAACAAAAACAACCACCTATTATATGATCATTATCCAAACACATACTAAAAATTAATTTGATTAAAAAAATAAAAATAAATAAACATCTAAAAGATTTATCATTTCTATATAATTTTATTTTTGGTACAAAAATAATTTTTTAACATTTATTTTTATCAAACTAATTTGTGTTTTATCAAATTGATGACTTTGCCTTTGAAATAGAGCAATACTGTCTTCGATTGTCATTTGAAATGAGATTCAAAATTTAGGGTCCAATATATCACAATTAAAAGATTAAGGACCAACGTAACACAAACCCTAAATTATAGGGACCATTAATATAATTTGCCCATAATTTAAATATGGAATAACTAATTAAAATGAGGTGGCAGTGTCCTAAAATTAAAAATCCATTTTAATGAATATTTGGATTTGAAATGATACCACACGAATTACTTGCATTATTATGTGCAATTTTTTTTGTGTACTTGTATGTATTTATCATTAATCATTAGGTAGGTAGTTGGTATTCATTACTCACCAACTCCTATTATTTTAAAATAGACTATTTGAATTTGATTATAACACCTAAGTAAGATTTATATTGGGTAATTTCTTGCGTCATTTTGATTGTCAATTAGTTTGATTTTTAATTTTAATTTTAGATTTTGTGTCAATTTAGTCTAATTGACAATGTCAGTTAAGTTTTGAAAGAAAATGATTACTGAGTTGGTTGAGATTAAAGTCATTAAGTTGAAGAATTTTATAATTTTGCTTATAAAAACATAACGCATGTTACTCATGTGCATATTTTTTATCAAAAAATATTAACAATTGTAATCAATTTGACTAAATTGAGACAAAATCATATATTTAAAATAAAAATAAAAATTGTTCTAATTAAAATTATAAAGAGCAAAATGATACAAGGACGAAAGTATATAGATTAACAATGTAATTTATCCATTTATATTAGAGTTATATGTAGGGTTGACTCTACACCCAATATAAAGTTCTAGACTGAATTACATATATATATACAATTTTTTCTAAAAAAAATTAGGGTGTTCAATTGAAACACTGTAATCCACTTTCCTGAACACCCACCACAGTTGAACACCTATCTAGCCCAGTTTCTTGAACACCCAACCCAACCTAACCCATAACCCTCACAGTTGAACACCCATCCATCCCACTTTCTTGAACACCCAACCCAACCTAGCCCATAACCCTTTAATCAATATATATGCTTTGTGACATATGACATGTTTTGGAACTTTGCTTTCTCAGCCTGTGCAAAGTACCTCATTGACAAAATTGTGTAATTTTACAATTCCCAACAACTATACCACTTGAATGTTGATGTTGATCAGTAGTTTTTTAGTTTATCTAAATTTGAATTAAAGGAGCTTTTCTCATTTTTTAAAATTTTTTTTTTATCATGCTAGTGATAAAACAAAATATATTTATATAATTTTTTGTATCAACATTTTATTTTTTGAAACAATAATATCAATATATTAGAATTTTTTATTTTATTTATTTATTTGTGTGTGATTTGAAAAGTCTACAATAATTAAATTTTTGAATGTCTACCTGAAAAAATTTCTCGAGTACCCATTGTGAACACCCTGAAAAAAATTTCTCAAGTCGCCGCTTATATGAGCAATTGCAAAGCAAAAATATAACCCCAGCAGCAGTAGTAATAGCTTCACCCAATCAGTAGTACACAATCAGCATCAACAAAATAAGAGAACCCCTTCCTTCATATATAACAGAAATTCACAAACCAGAGCCACTAGCAATATACAATGGATTCATCACCTATTCAACATCCCATAGTTCTAAATCGCGGTATCGGGTAACGTAACGGTATTGATCGTGGAGTATCGGTATCGATAGTATCGACCGGTACGTATCGAGTATCAGGCGTTGCGGCTTTGAAATTTCAAAAATCATTAGCAATCCCTCTAAAACTCAATTTTATGCATTTTTTTTACTCTTTTAGCCTTAATTTAACACATTTTAATCAAAATTTTGATATGTAGAGGCACTTTTGACTCATTTTCAACTAAGTAATATGTATTTATTTTAGTCTCAAGCTTTTATTTGGCATATATGTTAAACTTTTAATATAAAATTGATGTGAAAATATTTTTTTACTTATTTTCAACAATGAAATACTTCCATATGCACAACAAATTAATAAGAGAAAGAGGGACATGAAAATAAATCATTCGCTTCAGTCATAATTGCATACAAACAATCTACTACAAATCAACAATTCTAAAACTTAGTAATAAAAATAATTACGTGGTGGTACAGAAGAATCTCCATATCTCACATCACTTTGATCATCACTATGAATTGGTTGGCCTATTTCTCCATATTGATATTCCTGGTAGTAGTTATTGAAAGTGCATTGATCATAAGTGGTGTTGTTGCTGCCACTACTACTTGATTGTTGTTGTGTCATTGCAAGCCCCTATGTACCATAATTAAAACCCTCTATATATGGATATTGATGAGGTTGTTGAGAGTAGTTCCAATTTCCCATATAAGGTGGTTGATAGATTTGTGGTGGTGGTTGACTTGGAGGAGGGTAATACGGATATGGTCCTTGGCATATTGGCCGCCAATGTTGAGTTCCCCTTCTATCTTCTTGTCTAACTCCGAGATGTCCAAATTGATTTCACGATGACCATAAATATCATCAAGATGTTGTGAACGCCCAATTGATGCTTCTACATTAGGAGTAGAAATAGAATGTCGTCGTTGCTGTGTAGAATCCCTGTTCCAATCATGATCAATATGATGAATACTGCGTCTAAAACCATGTGCAGAACCTACAGATTCCCATTGTCCACCATTACCACCACCTGTTGGAGGACGATTGCCATTACTATCATCTCCACTACCACTAGGTGGACTCAAACCGTGACCCTCACTAGAGCCACTTTCAGCAGGCCTTGCTCTTTGATGGTGTTGAGGTACTTGGCTACTAGTGGCATGATCTCCCTTATCATCATCATCATCAATAATCAACCAACCTGAGTTATCTTCATCATCCAAGGCTGCATGTTCTCTCTCTTGAAGCCATGGAGTTAATAGATCATCTTCTTCAAATATATAGTCAAGATTGATGGGGTTAAAAGATTCCTCTCTGTCATCTTGGCTTTTTCATGTTGCATGTCTGATCTTTAGCCTCATATTGTAATACACATAAACAAGTTTATTTATTTTTTTATACTTCAACCGATTCCTTGTCTTTGTATGTATCAGGCTAAATGTACTCCAATTGTGCTCACAATTAGAAGAAGACGTGGTTTGGCTCAATACTCTCATAGCCACTTTTTGGAGTACCTGAGCCGATGTATCATAATGGATCCACCATTCAGCTAGATACAAATCTATCAAATATTAGTGATTCTGTTATAATTTGATATAGAAGTGTTGACAATGTAACAATAATATGTAATTAAAATAGTTAATAGTCGATTGAGTATATAATAATTATCAGGATTTGTTGCTTTCACTGCTCTTTGTGCTAACACAGCACCAAAAGAATCTTCTTTATTACAAAATAAAGAGATCTGCAATGAACAAAAGGCAATATGCAGTTTTACAAACACAATTCACAAGCCAAATAATAAGTTATCAATTTAACTAATATTAAATAATGACTAACTTGGTTTATCGCCTGTATTTGCTCGTTTAAATCTGGTAGAAGTCTCGAAATCACATTTCTAACTCCACTCATCACTTCTCGATGATTAGAAAGGTGCTCCCCATATTGGAATATGAGATTTAAAAAATAACCTACATTCAAATATAAAATAATAATAATAAAAGTGAGACAAGGAACGCATAATTTATAATTTAAATAAATTAAAAATTACTTACCAGCAGCATGCAAGTCCGTGTGTAGTTGGAAAGCCCATCGATTATCAATAATCTTCCAATAATCTACATAATAGCCACAATTTTGTTTGATGACCAACTTTGCTCTATCCATGGCTTCATATATAAAACCCATTGTGGGCTTTTCATCCCCATCTACAATTCTAAGCACCTTTAGAAGTGGTTCTTGAACTTTTAATACATCGGCCGCCTTGGTCCAAAAATCTTTACTTTGTATAATTTTTTTCGCTTTTTTTGCATCATCCTTTTTGGACCATTTGCTGTGCTTTCACTCTTGAGAATGAAACATATCCTATAAAGCAGTCTTATGTTTAACAATGCTTTCGAAAGTAATGAAATTAGTGGCAAAGCGTGTGATGACAGGACGTAACAACTCTTTATCTCCTGTGAATCTCTTCATGAGATCAACGACCCAATTGGAGTTGTAAATAAAGCGTGTGATTACTTTTGCACAATCCAACACCTTTCCTACACTTTTTTTCTTCCCAATATCCTCTAATATAAGATCAATACAATGAGCCATTTTTTGCATGAGTTTGTAACCAGCTGCCTTTATCGCAGCTTCGTTATCAGTTACGATTTGCACAACATATTCTTCTCCAATTTCATCCACTACCTTGTCTATGAGGCCCAAGTAATAATCAGCTGTCCTACTAGGTACATCAGTTACATCCACAGACTTCTGAAAAATTGTTCCACGATTGCTATACATAAGAAAATTAACAATGTGCTTTCTTGTGGGCCAAGACCATCCATCACTCATAATTGTAACACCTCTCTCAGCCTAACTAGATTTATGAGATTTTATCCAATTTTGTAAAGCTTCATACTCCATTGGTAAATACACTTCAGTTACCTGTTTAATAATAAATAACAAACAAAAACTATTAACAAGTATTTTAATAATTTATTTATTTTTAAACATAGATAGAGTTTTTTCAAACTTTAAGTTAGAGGCTTACTTCATAAGAAGTAGGTAGCTTTGTTCCTTTTCCAACCTCTCTTGCAGTATCCAACATTGGTTCTAGCCATTTAGAATTAACAACATTAGTAGGCACTGGAGTGAACAATACAAACTGACTAACTGCTCTTCCTAATTTTTTCTTTGCTTCTTTCAAGAATGTAGAGGAGAGTTTGGATTGTTTGTTACCTTTGTTCTTATGAAGATCCACATCTATGTCTAATAATTGAACTTTTGGAGAGGATGTATCAATCCATTTCCTACATGTACTAGCCTCACGAACACTATGACTTCGCCGAGCAAAACCGGGAGGAGGTGCAACCTCAATATCACTAGCCCTATTTTGTCCGGCCATAACCATTTCTAAGTCCTCCTCATCACACTAACTGGCTCTAATTTGTTCCGTCAACTCCTCATTCATCTTCCTTTTGTCAAGCTTTTTGCCCTTATAATTATTCAAATGATCCATCATTAGTGTTCGAACTTCACCACTGACATTAGCACAAGGTGCAACTTGACCTTTCATATGGGCCAAATGTTGCTTCAACCTAGTTATACCACCATTTAGCTCTTTTCCACAAAATTTGCACCTAATTTTATGCCTATTATTTTCTAGTGGAATTCCAAATTTCCAACCAATATCATCACTTGGAGGTTTTCCACTAGAACCACCTTCGTGCGCCATTATAACTTTCAATTATCTACAGTAACAATTTTCAATTAACAAATATTGTAATTCTAATTTAGTTACTAATAATAATGCATTTAAAATAAAAATAAAAAATCTAAAATATTAAACCTCTTTACTTAACAATTAAACCTCTTTAAAAAAATATGACAGATGAAACCTCTTTAAAAAAAAAATTGATATAAAAATAATCTGAAATAAAAAAATTTGACAGATTAAAAAATCTAAAATAAAATCTGAAATAAAAAAAAAAATCTGACAGATTAAACCTCTTTAAATAAAAATAAAAAATCTAAAATATTAAACCTTTTTAAAAAAAAAATTGAAACATACACTGTTACTACTTAATTTATTGGTTTTAATAGGTCCATGAGCAATGAGTCTAATAAATCAACTTAAAGGAATGAATGTAACAACCCTCATTTCAACTTAGTCATACTTGCATACATTTATGTATGATCTTGTTCTGATATGTGCATTTGCAAATCTTATCTTGTTTTGCTCGAATGTTGCTTGCACGCTTGGTTCTTGCCTGGTGTGTTACCGAGGTTATCTTGGGTCTAGACACCTTCGAAACCTTTTCCACTTAGAACTGTCGTGGAATCCCTTCGGTTGACCTCCATCTCCACCCTGACATATTGGCCGAGATGTCACCATCTAGGCCGAGGCGCGCGTCGCCTAGGCCGAGATGTGCATCATCTAGGCCGAGATGTTAATATTTAGGCGTTCTAGATCCTTGACCCTTGCACTAGCGATTTTGTTCCTGGAATGGTATGACCTAGACCGAGGTGTGGCACATCTAGGCCAAGGTGTGGCACAGCTTAGTCAAGTGTTGTCCTTCCAAGCCGATGTCCTTGCTTCTTACTTGTCGGAGTTTTGTTGTTGGCCGATGTTGTTGCTTGCCGGAGTGCTCTTGCTGTTTAGCTTGTCGAATACGCTTTGTCTTGGTCTTGTCTAATCAGTCAGCCACCTTTTCGAGTAGAGCCAACCAGTCGGTGCCACGTGTCCCAACGAGGGATTAAGTCAGTGACTGTCGAGAGAAACATATCATTTTGTATCAAATCTTGTGGTTTAGAGTGAGAGAAACTCTAGGAGGAAGGAGGAGAAGTTTGAGTAAGAGAGTGAGTTTCCAAGCTTGATCGTTGGAGCTTGAACCGTTAGATTCGAGTTTTGAGGTTAGAATCCTAGCCTACTCTTGTTGTTCTTATTGATCATCTAGCTGCATTGCACGATCAAACCTGTTCTGCACATCATACATTGATTTAGAATTGGTTTTAGAAAGAGAAAATGATTTTCATATGTTCTTGAAGAGAAGCCTCGTTTGATCCGAAAGTTTGCATTAAAGCTCATGTTTTTGTGTTTGTTTTGATAAGATCTTTGAGTATGGGTGCCCAGGTCCATGTTTTTGAATTCATGGCATGAAATCTCAGCTTTCGTAATAGCAAGTTTTGATCCTTGCATTCATCTTCCTCATGTTCATGTTATTCATGTTCTTCATGCTTATGTTCTTCATGTTTATCAAGAGGGAAACCCAGATTTTCCCGACCTCGCTTTTGAATGTGGCCGTCGGGGCCACACCTCGGCAAGGAGGTGTGGGACCTCAACCTGGACCTGGTAGTTGCCCAGCCTGTTCTCCAGAAATAAGAAACGGTGTTTTGATTTGATTTGACTTAGTTTTTGAAGGATACCGAGGTCATTTGCATGCATGCTAGACTTGCTTTGAGTAGTGCATTCAATAGACTTTGCCATGTGTATGTAGGACTGGGACTTGCTTTGACCCCGACGTTTGACGAACTAAGTGAGTGGTATTTTTGATAAAGCTATGTTATATGTTTTGATAAAGACTTTGCTTTGCTTTGTTTCGAAAGTATTTGTTAAGCATGAATAATTGTCCCTATTTTGTATATCAAGCATGATCTTGTTTTGATGATCTTCTCGGAAAGTCCCTTGTGCTGGAGGACTCTAAACTTTCGCAGCACATCTCGTTTTGGAAGTCCCTTGTGCTGGAGGACTCTAAACTTTCGTAGCACATCTTGTCTTGAAAGTCCCTTGTACTGGAGGACTCTAAACTTTCGCAGCATATCTTGTCTTGAAAGTCCCTTGTGCTGGAGGACTCTAAACTTTCGCAGCACTCTCGTGTTAAAAGGCTACGGGCCTTTGTAACGTAGGTCCTTTGTGCTAGAGGACTCTAAACTTTTGTAGCACCCTTGTTTGAGATGTCTCCCTTGTTGTCTTGTTTTGCCACTGACGGTTTACCGCGTGGATATGTTTGCCGGAATGTTATCATTTGTAATATGTTGCTGCTAGTAAGTATTCCTTGAAGCTTTGAAGATTTGTTAGATGGACGAGGTCCATCCCTTGTTATCTAAAGTTTTGGCTTGTATCGTTTTGAAAGAACTTCGGCTATTATTCATGCGAACCCCTTTATTATTTATACCATTCACTGAGTATCCAAGCTCACCCTCTCTATATATATGTAGGTGATGAACAAGAAGGCGTTGATGCCTAGATGTGAATCTGGAGCTTGTTTTGGATTTTTGATTGTGTCGGCTTGACTTGTATTTACGTCGGCAGTCTTGAAAATTATGCTTCTCGATTTGTAATACTTATATGTTGCATACGTCGGTTTGAGAAGCCTTTTGATCAAGATGTGCGTTTTGTATGTATGTTATGTCGGCAACGAGGATGTCGGCAATCTGGCAGACTATGTTCCTTGACCTGTAGTTCGTACATTTTGTTTGTGTCGGCTTGTGAAGCCCTTTGTTAAAATGTAAGATGTAATTTGTACTTTGCTTCATTTGTAATTAAGTTGTAACCCATATGCAGATGGTTGCTATTTCATTTGACTTATGCACAGCTCTTATGGACTATTCTGTTTGTATGTATCGCTTCCGCCTTGTGAGCCCCATATATTTGTACTCTGTTGTGTTTTGAAAGTTGGCCTTCGGTAATCCCGGATTACTGGCCATCACGGCACCAAACTACTAGGGGCGGTTTGTGGTCGTGACAGAATGGTATCAGAGCACATGTTCCTTAGTATATGTTATTCACACACTTTGAGTCCTAAAGAGCATAGGATTTCCCCTTAGAAGGATGTTAGGACTGCATCATATTGCTTGCTATGTGGACAAGGTGTGCATCATCTTGGCATGTTTAATTGTTACTTGCCAACGTGTTTATTTGTTTATTTTGTTTTAAAGTCGCACTGTGCATACTCATAGCATCATGAGGAGAGGTTGACCTCCAGTTGGCCGAGATCAGTCCGAGGACAGATTAGACAGACTGGAGAGGTTAGTTGAAGGTTTGGCCCACGAGTTAAGGCAGACCAGACAGCAGTACACTAGTGCTACTTCGACTCAGGCCGAGCAGACAAACGGCCGAAATGCAGTTCCGCCTCCACCTCCTCCAGTACCACAAGTGCCCCC